GGCTCTATCTGCTCACTATTTAGGTGGGTGGGGACAGGGAGCTGTGTGAGCCTAACATCTAGGCCGCAGCGACTTCTCTGGAAGGTTTTCTCCAACCTCCCCCAGGGCTCCTGAGGACTGTGCTGCAGGATGTGTGCTGACATCAAGGGGCTCTCCCTACTGTCCTCTGGGCTTTCTTAGCCACCAGGAGGTGGTGGCGCACGCCTTTAACCCCAGAACTCGGGAGGCAGAGGCAGGCGGATCTCTGTGAGTTCAATGCCAGCCTGGTCTCCAGAGCAAGTGCCAGGACAGCCAGGGCCGTTACACAGGGAAACCCTGCTTCAAACTTAATAATAATGATGATGATGATGACTGTGATGTTCTGGGCCCATCAACCCCGCTGCAGATCAGGATGTCGGGGATGCTTTCTCTCAGAGGCACAGTGCCTAGGGCAGAGGACAGAGAGAGGTGAGCCGCTGTGGTCAGAATGCCCAATCCTTGGTCATAAAGACACCAGAGATGGATGAGTGCATGGCAATGAGCACAGCAAATGTCACCAACTGTCCCAGGAACATGGCTTCTGCAGACACTGACCCGTTTAGAGCAGCACAGCCAGAAACGCGTGGCCCGGGAAATGGCTGTGTCTTGGCCCGCCCTCTGTTGTGTGGCCATCACTGGGGCATGATGCTCTTTATAAACCACTTCCCGTCTTCCCACAGCTGCCCAGCACCTGGTCAGGTGACAGGAAAGGTCAATGTCCTATGCAAGGACTAGCTGCCCTCCTTACCCAGTGCCCAGCTGGTCAGACACTTAGTAGGCTGACCGTGACCCTAAGGGCACACTTGGCCATGTCTAGAGACCTTTTTGAGTTTCCATAGCTGGGTAGGGGCAATGCCACCGGCTACTAGTGGACAGAAGCCAGGTATTGCGCTCCCTGTCCCCAGGACAAAGGGTCACTAACCCCTCCAATACATTCAGAAGGCTGAGGAGCCAGGCTGTATTCAGGAATGATGAAGCAGAGGCAGAGGGAAAAACAACTAGTACAAGTCCAGAAATGCGTTAGGCATTTAGGGAAACTGAGGAAGAGCAAACCTCACTTGCTTGGAAGAGGAGATGAGTGGTGTTCTAGGTTCCAGAGAATCCCAGCATAGTATTTGTGAGGTGAGAAAGGCCTAGTCAGCTATGCCGCCAGTTGGGAGAGTGGGCTGAGAGGAGGCCAAGTTCTTTGAGCCTGGAAGGTCATGGACTTCTGAACACCACAAGTGCCAAGGCTGTGCCAAGGCTCATACAGGATAGAGGCGAGAGCTCGGTGCCAGGCAGCTCTCCTGATGCCTGCGCTTCCCCCTAAGGCGCCCTCCAAGGACAGCAGCTCTTGAAGCTGCCTGTGTCCATAAGCTACAGAGAACTCAGTATCAGTCCCAGGAGAGCTGCTGAGAGACCACCGGGCTGGGTGGACACAAGGTACAGAAGATGGGACAAGAAAGCAAGAAAGGGGCAGTGTTGTAAGCTGTGCCGGCCCCGGCGCCATGTGACAGGTGGTAAAGACACTGTTCAAAAGTCAGCTCCTCAAGGGGAGAAGCTGAAGAAAACCGGGGACATGAAACAGTAAGCCATAGTTAACAGGGCGGCTAAGAGCAGCTCCCCGTCAGCCTGCACCAAACCCACACAGGTCTCTTCACACAAATGACAGGATTGGAACAGGGTTGTTGACCACCCTTGTTTAGTTCCTCCTACAGACTGCTTCCTGACCCTTGACCCTTGATGCCACTCCCCAACATGGCCTCATTCTTGTCTCTTCTCACTCCTTCTTCCTTTTGTTTTTTGAGGCTTGGTCCCATGAAGCCCAGGCCAGCCTTAAATTCCCTGCCTCCTGTTCCTCCGGCCTCCACCCCTATGCATTTGGGTTGCAGGTCAGTGCCCCCTGCCTGCGCTGCACAGGCGTGTCCTCCAGCCTACACTGCTGTCTCTCCAGGAGTTGCCAGGGGCTGCTTGCCAAGGGTCATCACAGGAGGCTGTCAAGCTCCCTCTCGGGAGGAGGGAGTGGGAGGGCCATGGGACCCTCTCCTGAGTAGCCAGACACAGCCAGATGCAGGGAATTCTTCCCTAACTGCCCTGGTCTCAAGGTCTCTGGGGACACTAGAGGACACAGGTGGTGAAGGACCGGGGGAGGGGACAGCCATGGAGGGCCATCATCCACACTGGGTGCAGACTTCTTGCGGCTGCTTTAAGGTCACCCACACTCAGTTAGCAAGACTAATGGACTCATTGCTTCCTACAGTGACTCTGCTGAAACCACACATTGACTTGTCAGCGGGACCAGGGTGGGAGTGCCCAGTCTCTCAAGGAAATTTTAGTAAGCTCTGTCCCTGATTTTTAAAAACATTTTTCAAAGACTCATTTATTTTATGACTATGAGTAGTAGGAGTGTTTTTGCTCACAGTTAGGTCTGTCTGGCACTTCCATGCCTAGTGCCTTCATAGGTTAGACACTAGATTCCCTGGAACTGGAGTTATGGACAGTCACAAACAGTTGTGAGCTACCACGTGGGTTCTGGGATCGAACCCAGGAAAAACAAGGGTTCTTAACCACTGAGCCACCTCCAGTTCCCCCCACCCCCACCCTTGCCTCTTGATGGTCCTGAAACTCCAGTACACTTAAAACAATTACTGGTGTTAACAACTGCTTTGTCTGCCTGGGTTTTCATTTGTTTTTAATAAAATGCTTAGCTTTTTGTGTGCTTTTGCTTGACAATAAAGCTTAAATTTAGCTGTCTTCTGACACATATAAACCCAAATTTCTCCCATGCATCAATAATCCTGAGTGGGGCTGGAGATCCCCTCATGCTCTGGGCAGTTATCTGACTGGCGGGCAGACCAGAGCCAGTGCCGGTCACTGCACCCACAGGGATGAAGATGAAAGCAGGGAAGGACTTCCTTCCTCCACCGAGACCTCTGTACTGGTCCTGCCATTGTCCACCTCCATTCTTTCCCCCTTCCTAGCCACCTTCTGCAATATTAGTACTCCTTCTCCAAAACTGCCCAAACACGGCGGGAACACCTTCCCTTGTGACTCAGTGTCCCTGATGGACTGACCAGTGAATCCCTAACAGGTCTGTTCCAGAACAGAAACGATGAGAAAGGACTTTCCTTCTCAAGGTGACTCAGGGGTGGGCCAGGTGACCTCCCCACAGCAGTGACTGAGCTCAAGGAGGTGCCTCCCTCTCCTCATCTCTGCACGACACACCTTGGTCTGACTTGGTCCTGAGACTTGCCATCTCTTGAGGGCTCTCATTCCAAGGATGTCTGTGCTCAGAGCCCAGCCATCATGCTATGAGCATCCGCTGTCCTCTGGCTTCCACACACACGCACAGTATGCCCATGGACACAAACACACAGATAGATAAACAAACAAATACATAAATGCACGAATGTAATTTTTAAAAATTAAAGGTGCCTGGATGTTGCCGTTCACACCTTTAATCCCAGTGCTCTGAAGGCAAAGGCAAGCAGATCTCTGTGAGTTCAGGGCCAGCCAGGACTATATAGGGTCAAAAAAGAGGTGTTGGTGGGGTGGGGTGGGTATTGAGGTCAAAAGTTTTAAAACTACTACTTTGCATGGTGACTTCAAAGCCCAGCAGCCTTGTCTGGCCCTCGAGATGCCATCTAAAGATAAACCCACTGACCATCACATTCTGGGCACCTGCCAGCTCCCTAAAATCTGAAAGCTTAATCCTACACATCTTCTCCCCCAGCTGGGCTCCTCACACCTGGAAGAGGTGAGCAACTGAGGACTGTGTCTGAGTGACCTGTCACAGCACCTGGCCCAAGGAAGTGGCAAGAAGGCTTAAGAGACCAACAGCTGCAGACTCTTGAGCTGTGCACAGAAAAATGAGATGAAGCTGGAGCTGAGCCTTCATGGGAGGAGACAAAGGCTCAGGCTGAACAGCGGCCATTGTTGCTGTACCCGTGACAGAAATCAGTGCAAGTCAGCAGCTCTCCCAGCCTGGAAGACTTCCTCCTCATTCCAGCTGGGACCTTCAGAAGCCCCCTCTTCCTCCCTCACCCTCCCTTTGGAGGAAAGCAGCTGGATGTGGGTCTGAGAACTGCAGGGGCTCTTTCCCCAGACCTTCTAGAAGGATCCACAAACAACCCCATCCCTAGGACAGACAGACAGACCCAGGTTAGTCACCCTGCTTAGTAACAGGAAAATCCGCCGGGTGTAAAAGGCAGAGAAAGGGAAGTGAGCAGCTCCTGGACCCACAGCACATCAGAGATTAAAGCAGAGCCAGGTTTCCCCTAGCCCCCAGCAGGGACCCGCCATAACCCAGCATGCCAAACAGTCAAGACAATGACCATCAAATTCCCTGGAGTGCCCCTTCTGAGGGTTTTCGAGAACCTGCCAGGCATCCTGAGAACAGAGAAACAGCATGAGAAGCCCAAAGCATTGTTAGATTCTGCTGAGGGCTCCTACGCCCAGCAGAGAAGGAAGAGCCCCTCCACCATGTCCCTGAGCAAATGTGAGGGCACACACCTCCAGTTGCAGCACTTGGGAAGAAGAAAGGGGATCTGGAGTTCCAGACCAGCCTGGCTACATATCTCGGTTCTGTCTCTAAGAAACCAAACAGCAACACATTTATGGCATAAATGGAAGAAAGTGATGAACGGCGTCTTGATGACCCATTGCACCCACATGGCAGAGAAGAAAAAGTGTTCATTTAGTCACTCAACAAACATTGACTACCCTCTGTAGCACACAGTCCGTCAGACACAAGAGGAGCCAGAGCAAGGCCCCGTTCTTGTGGAGTTTATTTTTCAGTGGGCACAAAGACGAGAATCTCTACACTCCTAAAGACCCACACACATTCAATGATTTCTTAATGAGTGCTCCCTATGGATTAAGTGATGGGTGTAGACACTATGTCAGGCACCTTCGATCAGGGGCTCAGCCTGCGGATCCTGCAAGGCCAGGCTCCTATGTGGAGCCTGTGGCCATCAGCCAGACACCAGTGAAATGGGCTTTACCTTTACTGTGTGTTCGTCTTCATCTGTCGGTGAGCAGTAGCCACTGAATGAGGGCCACCTGCATACCCGCTCCACTGCGCAGCACTGCAAGACAGAAAGGAACCACGTCCGTGACTGAATGGTGTCAGGGTCCAAAAACAGCACTAGCAAGTTTTAATTGAACACTGGGATTCAAAAACCAGTGGTCCCATGTGACCAGACACACACACACACACACACACACACACACACACACACACACACTGGGAGGCTGTCATGCTCAGCCTGAGTCAGCAAACATTTCCCAATCTTGAAATGAGTCTGCACTTCCCAGCTAGCAGACAGCAGCTCTGCTCGTCTTACATGGGTGGGGCGGAAGGAGATGGCAAGGTAAGGAAGAGGTACCCAACACCCCACTAGCTCATAAAAGGAGAGGCTCTGAGTCACACAAGACTCCTGAGGGGAACTCACAGAGAGATTGGAGTCACACCCCAGTCACCAGCCCCAAGGTATGAAGGCCATGGGAGAAGACCATGCCTGAAACCTGATACTGAAGGCCCTGCCAGGCTCCAGCTCAGTACCCAGCTCTCCTCTGACACCCTGGGATGCCGCTGCTACAGCCACTCCTCCCCTGGCTCTAATGGCATACAAACATGCTCAGTGACATCAAACCATCTCCAAGAAACAGCCACAGGGCAATCTGGGACGACATGGCACAGACAAGGGCACTGGACACAGGACTTTGGACATAATACAAGCCAGAGCCTGGCAGGACAGACAAGCCTGTGTGAGCGCTGGGTAGGGAGAAAAGCTGCCAATGTGGACAGTATCACAGGGTTAGTCCTGGCATTGCCAGGCCCCCAGAGGCAGTAGAGGAGGGCACACACACACCCCAGACATGCAGAGAGCAGCACCCTATGGAGGTGGGTCTCAGCCGAAGCTGATGGAAGCCCCGGATCTAACACCTCCTGAAGAGACAAGCCTCATTGTACCAGGACATGCCAGGCTCAAGCCCTAGGGAAGGCTTGCACAACAGTTGGGCAGCTGTGTTCCGTCCAAAATAGAGGCCTACCCGCTTCTCGGGCTAGCCTTCACACTGACTATCCTCCCAGGCCTTTGGGGAAGAGAGTAAAGGACCACAGGTGGGGCTGGGAGGAAGAGTTCTGGCTTTCCCTGGGTGGCTTGAAGCACACCCAAGTGCAGCAGAGAAAAGGCAAGGGGGGTGTGTGTGTGTGTGTCAGTCCAGTAAACTATGGAGGTGACGGGTGATGCCACTGGCAAGGGCCTGCCCATCCACACCAAAACAGTTATTGGCCCACAATCTGCAAAAATCACCAAATGGAAAACAACTATTCCCTTGAAAGCTGCAGAATGGATGCGTCCCAGGAGGCTATCCAGCCAGCTCTACCAGGGCTGGCTGGCCCTGAGGCCATGCTCAAGGCTCCCAAGCTCCGTCTCCACACAGAGCACTGCTGACAGCACAGCTGCTCAGGGTGCTAGGTAGGGGACTAGAGAGACAGCTCAGAGGCTAAGAGCACTTGTTACTTTTGCAGAAGACCCAGGTTCGATTCCCAGTGGTTCACAACCATCTGTAATTCCACTTCCAGCAGATCCATCCAACACCTCTTCTGACTTCTGAGGGCACACGGGCACCAAGTACACATGTGGCACACAGACATAAGTTACTCATTGCCAAGCACTCAACTGTACCCCTTAAAAATGACCCAGGTGGGGTGGGGTGGGGTGGCCCAGTAACACCAGCACTTAGAAGACAGAAGCAGGAAGGAAGACTGTCACCAGTTAGGAGGCTAACCTGACCTACAAAGTGAACTCAAGGCCAGCCTGGGTTACAGAGTGATACTGCCTCAAATTTAAGGTGTGTGTGTGTGTGTGTGTGTGTGTGTGTAAGCAAAAGCACTTGCCACCCAGCCTGATGACCTAAGCTCAATACCTGGGACTCATACAACAGAAAAAACTGACTCCCAAAATTTGTCCTACACACTGACACAAAAATAAATAAATGTAAAAGGTATTTAAAAAAATAAAACCTTGAGAGATGTTTTTCACAGGAAGAAAAGGTTTCTTCCATCTATTCTCTACTCCACTCCCCCAAATCCAGTGCTGCTTAGAGGAGGCTTGGGGACCTGTGGAGAGGAGACTGGCTCAACCACAGGCCAGCCGCAACCCTGCTGCTTTCATGGAAAAGGGTCAGTGTACACCATGATTACAGAACTATAAGGTCTGGTCGAGCTGGTTCTGTTGGCTCCCTGCTGCAGCTCCAGAAGGTTGCTGTTCTGTGGCCAATTCTGGCTCACCGAGAATGAGATCCTCAAAAGTGGGTACCAGAGTAACCATGGGCTCCCCCTTCTAATGTGAAATGGGTCACACTTCCAGAATCCATCAAGATCAGGTGAGGTAAAACAGGGTACACATTCTTTCCCAATGATGTCTCCAGGGGTCCAGAGCCAAATAAGACACATGTGAGACAATGAATGACCCACGTGCCTGGAAGCAGACAACTCAAGTTCCTTGCAGGGCCTCCCTGGTGCAATCCCACAGCCTGCCCAGGCAGATACCAAGGCAATACACCCCAGACCACACCTGGGCGGCAAAAGGAACGTCAGCTGCCTCTCCCAACCACAGGAAATGAAGCTGTCCAGGAAAAGGAAGGAGAAAAGGTCCCAAAAGACCACGTTCCAGTGACCAACATTCAAGGCACATTCCATCAGAGAAAGACAGGACAGAAATTCAGTGGCCTTTATTCAAGATATCATGACTAAAAGCTATAGATGCCCAACAGCCCCAGGGCGAGCAGGCCAACTATCCATTTAAAAAGTCAAACAGGGAGAGGGAAAATGTATTCTGGGGCTGGCGAAGTGGCTCAGCCGATAAAGGTGCTTGCCAATAGGCCTCCATGACCTGAGTCTATTTCCAGGGCCCACAGGAGAGAATGAGACAACCAACTCCCAAACCCAGGAAGCTGTCCTCTGACCTACACCCGACCCCCACATCCACGCCCCACATAAATAAATAAATGTAACGTTTAAATGAAAAAAGCGTTCTAGAGCCAGTACAGGGAAGAATATCCAAGATGAAGACCACAGTCATCCCTGGGCATGGCTTCGGGAGACTTGTCTTAGCTCTCTGGGATAGGGCAGAGAGTGGAAGTGAGGAGTAGTGAGAGCACAGATGGCTTGAGTATCATGGTTTCAATGAGTTCCATAATAACCCAAATGAATCCTATTTCCTGGAAGGGGAAAAAGAGTTACATGAGGCCTCCGGCTACCGCTGGCATACACCCAACTCAGAGCCGTCTTTCCCAAGGGTTCCTGGAAGTCAACAGACCCATAAAGGGGAAGTATTGTACAGCTGAGATTAGAAGGGCCTAACACTGGACATCCCTCCCAGAGCAACACCCAGTAAACCTTCCCACCCGAACAAACCTGGTCAAGAATAGTCAACACCCCTTCCTACCGCCCTCCCATCTCAACCGAAGGTGAAAGCGAAGCCGATCGCGGGCACCTCTGGGTTCTCCCCGAAGCAGAGGCAAAGAAACGAGCAGCGAGCGAAGCGGTCGGGTGACAAGAGGTGAAAAGGACAGACGGACTGCCACCAAGGAAACGAGAGCCGGGCAGAAGCAGGGCCTCTGCCGGCAGCCAGGACCGAAGAGGCTTGCATGAACCGGACGGGCTCGCGGAAGATGGGGAGGATGGGGAGGGACCAAGCGGTCGAAGAAGCGGGGGCCGGAGACGGAGAGCAATGACCGACCGGGCACGGAGGGGCGGCTGTCGGGGGA